CGATGGAAGCCATCTGCAGCAGAAAAATTCTCCTCTAAAGGGAAGTCTCTAGATGAACTTTCTTTTTGCATTTAACAGTCACATTTCTAAGGGGAAAAAAATAAATAAAACCTAGACCCATAGAATCTGAGACTTTGGGGAGGCAAAAGTTGAACTTGGAAATGGTTGAGCTTAATCATGTCATTTTTCAGATGAGAAAATTGTGGTGCATGGGATTCAAGTTTGTTCAGCAAGTCAAGCCGGATTTTACCTTTCCCCCTTATATCTATTGGTTTTATAATTTTGTAGGAAGTAGAAATGTACTTTTTCCTACCTTGGTGAGAGTTTAAAAATACAAAATACTAAAACAAACTGAAATGGTATATATATATATATATTTTTTTTTAGGCCCCCACAAAGGCAGTACAGTGTGAATTATATCTTTGTCGGTGCTGGTTATGAAATCACTCTGGAGAGTCATTTCTATAGAGACTGGCAGTGCAGTGACTGTAACTCAATGGAACGCAATTCCACTCAGAACTCACAGAATGTAATTGATGAAAGGAAGCAGCATAAATTACCTTAGCATTCTTCATGGGTAATGTCTCTGTTTCCCACGCAATCTCATTTTGCACACAAAATAAACAAAACCAAATTCAATCTTCCAAATTGTGTGGCTCCACTTGTTTCTTTTCTTTAAAACATCATGCAGCCCACGTCACCCACGGCAATGACTGGGTGAATTAAGTCCAGCACGGGCCACATGGTAGCCTCCATCCCCACTGCCCTCCAGCATCCTGGACTTTTAGCCATTCTTCCTTTCAGATCATTTATTTGGGGCCATGATAAAAGCATAAGAATTAAACTTAAGATCAGCAAACTTGACTTTTATTTCATGTCTGGGCAATTCTAGAGCAGAATGGCAGACTCCTTTGTCCCTCTTTGCAACAACTTGAGCAAAATGGTTAAGCAAAGAATAAAAGAAGAAAGAAAGAGATAAAAAGAAGGAAGGAAGGAAGGAAGGAAGGAAGGGAGGGAGGGAGGGAGGAAGGAAGGAGGAAGGGAAGGAGGAAAAGTAAATATTCTATGGTGACAAGAAAAAGTGTGGTGCGCGAAGTATTAGCTTACTGAAATACGTCCATAATCAAAACATCCCCATTTATTCATTGATTCCTCCCAATTCAAACAGAGAGCTGCTATCACAACACTCACAGACATGACTTTGAATTCTATTGGGATGACAAAGACAATGCAGACAGAACTGCATGACTTTGCCAAGGATCTGGTATAAATTTATGGCTAACCCCTGAGAAGGGTGATCCCCAAACCCAATTACAATTTTCCAGGTAATGTGACCATGTGGATATCCTGTAGGCGAGAATCAGTTTTCCCAGAGGTAGGAGATTCTGGGCAGTGCCATTATTAATTGCCAAGGGGGCAGCAAGCCTTGGGTAGCAAAGGGAGTCACTCCTCTGAAACAGGACTCTAAGCAATGGAGATAAGGACAAGGTAAGATACAGTGGCAAGGTTTCAGCAAGTGTCTCAGAGTTGGGCCGCAAATCAAGACAAGACTGAAATATAAGGAACCAGAGCATAAATCCAGCAGGAGGTTAGGGGCAGGTACCCAGAGCTTACCCTGAACATCAAGTGTAAGGACTGCACACTACTTCTAGCTCTGCTCTCCTGAAGGGATTAACTATGCAAATATGCAATTCAGGGACTAAATATGTAATTTTAGATCTCATAAAGGGTTTGGTTGGGCAGGATTTGGGCTGACAACAACAAACATAAACCCCTTTAGTACAGATGCATCCATGTCCCCTTCTCCTTCTCTGTGAATATTAAAGAGCAGAACATAAAATAGAAATTATTTCTGAAATTTTTAGGTGGATCCTAATCATGTTGGTTTGGAAAATGGGAACTAGGTATTTATCATCTCTGTCAATTATAAATTCCAGGTCTATGGGTTTCTCTCTCACTGAAAATTTCCAAGTATCTATCTCTTCCAGTCTTGCCTCCCCCTCCCCACACTAAGTAAAATTTGAGAAATTTAAGGGAGGAAATCAAAAATTTGGTCTTTAGGAGAAGTGTTCAGACCAACTTTAAGGTAGTTTGTTAAAATGAAGTCTATAAAATGGATCTACAATCAGAAGATATTTCAGAGGAGGCTGACAAGGATGAAGAGACAATTCAAGCTCAGGACAGTTGATTCAAGCACCCTTTAAGATGATGTTAAAAGCCCCTTGAATCTGCACAGGTGCTTTCTTCTAAATGGTCCCGAGAGTAGGTGTGAATCCATCTCTTACTTTCATTAGTTGTTTTATCCTGCATCGATTCACTCTCCTCTTCCTATTTCCATTTCAGGTAAAATGAATCCAGTTGTTTCTGTCTCATAAGAAGATCAGGCCCACTCTAAGTGGATGGGGCCTGTGGCTAATTCTAGAAATGATTTGCAGCAGGACATTCTACTACCTCTTAAATGTTTTTGGTATCTTTAGACTGATAGAGTGTAACGAGTACAGGGTTCAAGAAATGCATCCCTTTAAAAAGCTCATCAGCATGGTTTAATTTTAACAGAGACAAAGGTAGAAAGTTCATTATTTTTCATTACTTATTCAACCCACATTTACCAAGGGCTTCATATATTCCAGGTAACGTCCTCTGAGTGGATGGACAGTAAAACTCAGTCTTACCCTGGAGTAGCCCACAGTTAAGGAGGGATTAGGGGAGACCAGAGCTGAGTAATTACAACATCCCAATTAAAACACAATCACAGACAGCCTCTGAGGGCATCAATAATTATCTGAAGGCCCAAGAAGGAGGCTTCACAGTGGTGGTAAAGCCAACTATAGGAAGCAATTGATTTTTCTGAAATAAGAGTAGATGTTATAGAGGAGAACATAGGTCCCCCTAAACCCCTTAGTTCTTACCTGGGCTCTTTGGTTGGATCAAGAAACTCAAGTAATATGAGTTGGATAATAAGAGAACACCACGCACAATTTATGTGCAGATGTGCACCTTCATGAGATGGAATTCTGAAGAAAAGACCAAAGCACGATGATTTTACACTATTTAGACAAAGAGCACATGATTTGAGGAGGAATCCAGGACAAGTAGCTCTTTCTGAAGTCAACCTTCAAGTGTGTTCATCTTGGAATAATACGCCAATTCAACATATTTTGAGATGGCACATCCTTAACTCCTTCAAATGTGTTAAGAAAAGTAGTAGAGAACTTATTAGCATGTACAAGGCCTGGGTTTAATCCTCATCATCCCCCCCCCACTTCCCCCCCACCAGAAAAAGCTGTTGGCCATGAGGCCCAGCCTAACACAGCTTATTGTAGGCAGGATGAATCAGTGGGACAGGTGGGGAGACAAGCTTTCCCTCACTGACCCATTTCATTTCATTATGCCATGCTAAGATATATGAATGTTCTGCTTATTTGAATATTCTAACTGATCAGTTAAATTTACTACTGATATAGCAGCTCTTGATTGGTTTTCATCTTTGTGTGACTGGCCCATTTTTAATAACAAACATGGGTAGATTTCTATTGGGCTTCTTGTATCTGAGCAGCCTCTTCTTTCAGTCCTCCTTTATCAGCTGTCCCTGATTCCCTGTAAGGTAAAAATGAGCCTTGGTAGATCTCCCTGAAACCACCTCCTGTTTCAACCCTTCAGTTACTGTGGCTTTTGAGTGACCATCACAGAGGACCCAGCAGGACCAATGATATTACAGGTACAGCTACAGGTATCATTCCTTATACATATATTTCCCAAGAATTGAGGTGTGTGTGTGTGTGTGTGTGTGTGTGTGTGTGTGTGTGTACGCAAAATCAATATGAGTAATTCTATCCCAGGTCTGGCTTTTCATACTTCATTTTTCCAGCCTCTGAGAACTCTAAAAATTTTAAATACCTAGTGTTACATAAGTCAACAGGATGACAAGATGCTAATGCAGTCATTGCTTACACTCATATCACATTCCTCTGTTAGTTTCTTCCCTGGGGCTCCTGCAGTAAGTATTCAGATGCTAAACATTAATTTTTTTTAACAAACAACATGTTCCAGAGTCATTTTTATCTTCCCATGTGGTAGGTATATAATATTCAGCTCCTACCCACTCTAGGCAAATAAAAAGTAATGACGTAAGTTGGTTTCAACATCAGCTCCTTGCACTTGTGAATGCATGAGGAGGGGGGCTTAGCCTTTGGGTGGAGAATGAGGGATTTGATTTGGAATATTCCTCACTCTCCCTTTCTCTAAGGAACAACACATAGTCTTGAACTTCTGAATCCCTTCTCCTCTCCAACTGCTTTGGGGGTGTACTTTGTTATGGAGATGGGTTGCAATGGGTAACTTTTACTGGGCAATGGGGCAGAGACCATGGTAGAGTTGGAAAGGGTTTACTGGGATCCAAAATGGGGGTCCCAGACTGTTGGATTACAAGAAGGTGAGGAACAAATTGATAGGAAGCAAAAATAGCAAATCTTGTAAACTTGTGTTGCATTCCAACTTTGTCACATCCTGTGCCTTCAAGGTGTGGATCAGACTATAATTTTACCCTCATGTGGCACAAATACAGTGGCTGACTCAGTCTTGTTTTTGAGCAAGTTCTGTTCTCTTCCTTTGCGGTGTGTTTAATGGTGCTGCTGCCATCGCCCACCTCTCCAGCATCTGAGGCTGGTATACAATTTCTTACACTGTCTGCTGACTTCTCAGATGCAAAGTCAATGCTGCACCCTCCCCTTATACTTGGACACTGGCGAGACACAAGATCCTTCCATCATTCTCAAATTCAACAGCCCTGGCCTGAGTCCTAGTTCTGCCACCTACCACTTGTGTAATCCTGGGCAAAGCACCCAAATCTCCTTATTTACATTTTTCAACAATAATATATTCTCCACTAAATAGGGATTTTGTAAGAGATGAAAGAAATCATGATTTTTAGATTGATTATCCCAAAGTCCAGCATAAAGTAGTTCAATATATATGAGCTATTTTTAGTGTTGCTGTTTTACCTTAGGTGTTTGTGCTGCATCTGTAACAATCAACCTTCGCGCTCTGATGTGGTGATTCTGGCAGAAGAAGTGGCTGGAGATGGATCTCCACGGTTAGGAACTTTGCTCTCCAGAATGATTCAGGGATCCAATTACCTGAACTGGACCAGCCATTTCAAAACGGGAAAAGTGGGAATTAGAAATTAAAGGTAAGCAAAAGAAGATAAAGAATATTATATAGAGAAGAATAACAAGAAAAAGGGTGGCTGTAACTGAATTGGACAAGCCAAGAGAGAACAATCAACAGTCACGTCATTTTGCTAGGCCTCTGTAGGGACTCTTAGGAGTAGGAGGCATAGAACACAGTATGTGTCACTGAGCTAAATAATTGCCATGTGGCGAAGTGGTCAGGCTCTTCCATTGGTCACTTATGGCTATCAAACTGAAAGCAATTTTAAAAACTGAGAAAAGAATGGAATTGCATTGCTCTGTGACCATGGTGCTCTTATATAAACAAGCCTGGCCATCAAAAATCTTAGAATGGCCATGGTCAGTTGAGAAGTCCTGGATACTCCCAGCCTATAACATCACGTAGCTATGAAGATGACAAATTTAATGCACCAAGTGTCCACTACATCTTACTGTAGAAAGTCCAATATTTCACCTCTTTGCCCTTCCCAAGTGTTTCTGAGACATCCTCTATCACCACCAAGAATTCTTACATATTTCAAAGATCAGTCTTGGTTTGGCTTAACCCCAAGTCCAGAAGACCCAGCTCCAAGCTGACCTTCTATTTAGCTGCGGGGTAGCAGCCTTCTGATGCAAGTCATTTCAGCCTGTTGGCTGCTTTCTTCTTCAGTCATTGTCCCATGAATGGCATAGACCTCCTCGTAGCTCCACACAGCAATCATTGAGATCAGACCAAATGTGAAAATGGTACTGAAGCTAACCAAAAATAAATATAAGATTAATACCTGGAACACAACTGCAATAGGGGGTGTCAAGCCAGTCTTCTATGAGGTCCCTTCCTGTTGAGTTACCAGTCTATTACAGTTTCCCAAGGAGAGAAGGTTGTCTTGTGCTTCCTTTTCCTTTGTCTATGTCTTTGTCTGTTTTCATTTGCTATACCAAAATACCTGAGACTGGATAATTTATAAAAGAAAAAGATTTATTTCGACTCACAGTTCTGGAAGATGGCCCTGGCAACTGCTGGGTTTCTGGAGTGGATCTCATGGTGGGAAGAGAAGAACAAGCAGACATGCATGGAAGAGAAGTCACAGGCTAAAAGAAAAAGCAAAAGAGGTCACCTTCTGTGTAATAATTTACTCTTGAGGTAACTAACCCAGTCCTCCAAAAACCCACTCATTCCCTCCAGATAGCATCAATCTGTTCATAAGGGCTCTGTCCCCATGATCTAGACACTTCCCTACTTCCCACTGCTGCTGCTTTGAGAAAAGAAGCCCCAACATGAGTTTGGTGGGGACAAACCATATTTAAATTACAGCAGTCCCCTGCCAAAAAGCCGATCTATCTCAACCACCCCTCAAGGTAACCATTTACCAGCAGATTATGGTGTTTTGATGTGAGAGCTCTGCAGCCCGCTGACCTCCTGCGTCAGCTTTCACCCAGCAGCTCCTTGCCTGGACACAGGTTTAACCCAAGGCCCCACTCAAAGGGCTTCAGGAAACAACCATGTCTTCGTCAAATGGAAATTGATGCTTTCTCAAGAAAGGGCTAACAGTTTTTGAGCCATTTTTTGTTTCCAGTTTCTACTCATCAAGATTTCAAAATCTTAGAGCTAAGTTTCACCCAGGACACTGTCAAAATAGGAACCGCTCTGCTTTTGAAATCATTTTTTAAAAAGCGACGTCAAGGGAAGCAGGTCTCCATCATCTGAGCCTTGGTGATTACCATCCTACGCAGGGCCACTGGCCACGCAGACACAAACCCTGCACACGGAAGCACCCTGTCCTTTGTTTCTGTCCTTTCACTCCCTCCGCAGTAGAGCTGTTCTTGCAGATGCTTTGTGCCCTGCATAATTGCCACCGCTGAGAGCGGATGATTCACCCACCACCACTTCTTTTTTTCATGCTTTCCTTGCGTCAGCTGAAGTTAGTCAATATAATGTGCCACTATAATGTTTGGAATACTGTAAAGAAAAGCGTTATTTTGTTATTAATTACTTCTTAAGCTTAGACTTAGATGGGCTTAAAGATACATATAACTAGAATGTGTCAGTATTTTCTACAATTTCGAGCACTCTGGAGATGTTTCCTATGTTTCATTTCTTTCCCAATCAGCTTAATTTCTCATAGAATATAGGAGAGAAGAACTGATAAAGATAGGTGTTTCAATGTCTAAAAGCATTTTGAATTATAAGCTATTATGTAGCATGCAAGGCATTGTTCACAGGTAGCTCTGTAGGAGAACTGATTTCCAGCTCCAACTGCCTTGTCTTCCCTCCCATCTCCTCCCTCCCTCCAGAGTCCTGATGCCCCCTGTTGAAGTTGGAGCCTCCCTAGGGACATGCAGAGCCCTGGGAGCTACAGTGGGCTTGAGAGGGGGAAGAATTCCTGGGTTCCCAGACTTCTGAGTCAAGAAGGAGGAGAAAAGAGTTCCGGAACAGGGAAGAAAGAACTAGGCCACGTGTGGGAGAGAGAAAACATCAAAAAGTTACATGAACCTTTGAATAAACTTGTTTCAATCACTTAATTGGAGAATTAGCTCTGACATCTTGAGTCAGCAAAATGAACATCATAGCTGCTTCCCTGTCTTCAGCAAACATTGAGCAAAGCTTGACTAACTGCTTCTTGTGTGCTGGGTGCCAGAGGACGATGATGGCTGGAGACCCATCTCAGCTCCTTGCAGCAGAGAAGAGGGGCATTGCCCACCTAGTGCTATGAGGGTGCTGTGAGCTAGGTAAGCAGTGCTTGCTAAGAGAACTGGTAGGACAAGCTGGGGCCAGCTTTATCTGGGGACATCAGACAATGTCTCATCTTCTAAGCACTAGAAGTACCAAGCAATGCCCACCTCCTAAAACAGGGCTACTTTTACCAGGATGCCTGCCACTCTCCAAGACCAGCTCCCATCTAATGAGCTCTTTTGGCAATAACAGAATTTTGTGAATTAAGATTTGAAACAAAACTAAACCCACTCTAATCTCCATGGCAACACGAGATGACAATAGCCCTAGGTGTGGAATCAACATCCTGGGAGAAGCCAGGCAGGAAGAGTGCACAGTGAGCCAGCATGGGAGCAGCTGCTCCCAATGGTTCTGCAGTGCAGCTTCCCAACGACGCTGAGCTGCCCACCCACATCGGGAACACCACACATGTGCGCAGTGCACACACATGCGCACAGACAGGATCTGGAGGGGGCAGGCACTCAAAGCATTTTGTTCCACAGCAGGTAAGCAGCCCAATGGAACCCTTGATTCCTAGATCAGGCTGAGAAGCAGGCTTCCAGTGGAAAGTATGTCCCGTCTCTCAGCAGTGCCTGCATTCAGCAAGAAGCCCTGGGCAAGAGGTAGCAAAACTAATGAAGGTCTGATTAACAGGCTCCTGGGCAGCGGGGAGCTCAGCCCATAATTGAAAAAACAGAGCGGCAGATCCAAGTTTGCCAAAGAGGAGAAGTCTCCTTTGTTCTACAATAGCACTTCCCTGTTTAGTTAAAAGACAGACCCTGGTGACCCTTAATGACTCTTAGCAGGTTGCTTTATGCCTCTAATAGGACTTGTCGCTCTTTAGCTTATTTTAAATTACTACCAAGTGGTGTGTAGGTTGGGGCTCCTTCAAGGTGGGGGGAAATCAATTGGAGAGGAAAAGCTATTCCTTAGCAACAAAAGAAAAAGGGAAAAGGCAGTTTCTTTAATGTAATCTGAGATAGGATCTAGCTCAGCAGAGTCAGAGCAAAAATAGTTTTTCTCTGATCCAGATGACTGAGTTCCACGTAAAGAAAGGAAAGGAGGCATCCTGAGGCCACAGACATCATCTCCAGTGTGGAACACCCCTCACGTTGGCGGCGGCGTACACTTCAAAGGATGTCAAACATCACACAGCCAGGACACCAGGGGACAGGCATTAGCACAGTCATTTGGCTGATGTGAGGTTTTTGTTTGTTTGTTTGTTTGTTTGTGGCGTGGGGGATTACTGGGGATTGAACTCAGAGGCACTCAGCCACTGAGACACATCCCCAGCCTTATTTTGCATTTTATTTGGAGACAGGGTTTCACTGAGTTGCTTGGTGCCTCACTTTTGCTGAGGCTGGCTTGGAACTCAGATCCTCCTGCCTCAGCGTCCCGAGCCACTGGGATTACAGGCATGCACTACTGCATCCAACTTGATGTGTATTTTTAATCAGACTCCTTTTCCAATTACAATAAAGCTACAAGTAAAGTGATTTTTAGCAGTCTGGTGACAATGTCGCCAGTATGATTGTCCACTGTGACATTGGTTATTGCTCCTATAGAATACAGCTGAAACTAAATGGTATGCATTTAGTTATACAAGCTCCATCCCAAAAAGATTAGAAACAGTTTCTCAAATACACTGTGAACTTCCAGACAAAAAGAGGCAAAATGGGAAGTGGACAAAATCAGTATAAAAATTAAGGGCAGAGCCAGGGAATAAACTGAGTACAGCAAACACAAGACTTTAGGGGCCTATGCAGCTGTGTGTGTGTGAGTGCACTAAATGAGTAAGGTTAGTACATTACACACACCCCCACACACTATAGGCATCTACACAGCTGTGTGTGCCGCGTGTGTGTGCACATGAGAGCATGGAACACGATCCTCCAGCTTGAGCAGCAATTCTGATTCACAGTGATCCACCACAATTCCCACATCAGCTTTCTCTGACCACCTTAATGCAGGGCTCAGCAAAACTTCCCACTCTCCAGAAAAAAAAAAAAAAAATCTACTCCCATCTAAACAATAGTGTGGTTTACAGTTTACTGAAGATTTCATAGGGAAGTCAGAGGTGAGTTTTCTACCACATGCACCACCACAAACTCTTTGAACTTCCACTTAATATTTACTTTCTCTCCAAAAGAGAAATCCCATCAAGGGATCTCTCTCCCTTTCCTTTTATCACAGGAGTCCAATCTCTCATGTCCAAAATTCTCTAGGCCAACCTATCTCACACTTTCTTTGAGCTGCTGCCTATAAACTCACAAAACTCTTTGCCCATGAATCAGCAAACCAAAGATCCAAGTTCTAGGATCTTCTCATGTTGGGAAGCAGGGGGCAATACATAATGACAACAATAGCATTCTACGCTATCAAATTTATCAAGAATGATTTTAGTGTGGAATTTGGAATTATCACCCCATGAAACAACAACCCACAGTTAACCCTGAGTCTTGATGGTTAGGCATTGCACAAGAGCAGGATGAGATGTGCACAGCATGTTTTTCTACAGACTTCCTTCAAGATATTGCCTACAACCATGTCTGTCTCTAGGTAACTGTCACTGCTACACAAACTTTTGCTACACCTGTTCTGATACCTTGTACAAAATACAATCCAGAATTCTGGATAAGACCATACTCATTTTGGGTATATTTGTATTCACATACAGATATAAAATATTGTAGCTTTTTGGCCTCTAAAATTCTCAATAGTCATAAGTGTGAATCAATTTGTGCTTAACATATGAAATGGCCTGACTACTCACAGCCTCAAATTATTCAATGAATCAATTTGACTAGGTTCATTTCTAATCAACCACTCGCTAGCCCTAATCTGTGTGTAATACTTTCTCTGCAGTTTTAAAAGTTTTAAGGCTGCAGTTCTTCTTTGGCCAATAACAGCATCCACTAAGAGAAAATCCTCTGCTCTGGACTCATCCAAACTGTGCTCCCACTACACAAACTGACTAGCCCCAAGCTTTAGCTTTCTCAACCAATCAGTAACCCCAGAAACGAGGTCCTCACTGAGCTTGACAGAGAACCAGCAGAAAGCAAAAGACTGGTGATTGCTACAGAGCCCCAAAGTTAATGCAAATATTTTTCTCAGAATGATGGTATTTTAGAGCTACAAGGGACCTTACTGACGATCCAGTTAAGACACCTTAGAGTTACTGAAGAGACGCAGAGAATCAGTGAATTAGTCAAGATCATGTAGCTTCTGCAAGCCACAGAAGGACCTGAGCTCAGGTGGGCAGCCCAGGTGGGCAGCTCAGATGACCAGCAGCTCAACACCTGCTGTTCAACTGCTAGGGCTGGGCTGGCCAGAGACACCTGAGAGTCTGGAAAAGATTAGCTGAGAATTGGGTCATATTTAGTAACCAGAATAAATGTCTTTCTCCTCAAGGTCACTAACCAATTCACTTTCCCAGGGCTTCTTTTTCTCTGGTCACATCCTCAAAATAAACTTGCCTGTAGCCAGGTAAAACTGTGGAAAAGGAGACAGGGCCTTGTGAGGAAGCCCCTGCCCGTTCTCACCCTCAGAAAGGTGAGTGCCTAACCACCCTCCACCACCCCACAAACAAAGGATAATAAGCACTATCACTTGTTGGGGACTTAAAATGTTCCAGACACTGTGTAGGGGATTCACACATGGGAACCTATTTAGCCCACAAAACCCTACGTCCTCTTATTTTCCCCCTTCTTTCAAGCTGGGGTGTGAGCTCAGCATTCTGTCTCCAGTCACCACTCTTAACCCCTTTGGGTCCCTTACTACCTTTCAGGAAAAGATAGGGCGACTCCGATGAAGGCTACTCAGCCTGGCACATAGACAGACATGTAATATGATTCATAATGATGCTACCATTATTGTTATTTCTTATCCAGTTGAGTGTAGGTAGATGGCTGGTCCAGAACCTGACAGGAATATATAATAAATATAGCATATATATTCTATATATAATACATAACACATATATGTGATATATGATGTCATCCTTGGATTATAATGTTCTCATTTCAAATGTTTCAACATGCTGAAATCATGACGTCTACATAGCTAATCCTATCACTTCCAAATTCAGGTGCATTCCTTGTCCTTAATTGCAGAACTCCTCCATTTTCTCTGATATAAGCTTAAAGAATACTGGGGAGGGAACTGGGAACTCACCCCTACCAATGTTCCAAAAGGAATAAAACATTTCTTTCTAAGCCTTCCAAACTCCAATGAAAAGATTAAAATGTGAAAGCTCTTAGGGACCTGCCCTTTGACAGACTATCTGTGTGACTCAGCCAACTGAAATTCCTGGGCCTGAAGGAAAAATACATTTTTGTTCTTCCCTCAGGTAGATGATTCCCATCCTGAGACATGTCACTGGAGTGGAAAAGTTGGTTTTGAACAGAATCATTCTTGACATCTATATTGGGCAGCTGTGTTTCCACAGTGCTACAATTGATTCCTGACACGGAATGGCATTTTATGTTTTTGACCCTGCCCCCAATGATATGATCTTGAAAAGATTAAGGAGGCCTCCAGTGTTACCCTAGGACCACTTGTTACCTAGGACCATTTGCAAGTACATAATGGGATTGAATCTGCAAGACACACTTCAATCTAGGTGAGTGCACCCAAAAGCATCTCACTGAAGATTTCCTCACCTAGCAACAGACACTGTCCACCAATTGCCCTCTTGCCATGAAATGAAGAACTGTAATGAAATAACAGGATTTTATTAAACACTGAAGTTCAATGTCTATACTTTGTAAATATAAGAGAAAACAAAAGTTGAGAGGTCAAGAAGTGCTGTATGTAAGTTAACGGTTGGAGGCTGCTTCCTTTGAGTCCTCAACTGCAGCCAGTGAGAATGGGTAGAGCAGAAACTTTGAGGCTGAACACACTAGAGCTGGGAGTCCTGGAGCAAGCCAATTTTACCATGTGATCCTCAGGCAAGTCTTGAGATTTCTCTGAGTCAAAATTTCCTCGTCTATTTAAAAAAAAATCACCTGGAGAAAACAATCAATCAACATGTTTTTTCCCTCTTTCTTGGTATCCAAATGGATTCCATCTGTGTCTTCTGATTTGGGTTCCTCTTGGACATTATCACGGATGAAATCCCACGGGACATACCCAGCGGCAGAGAGCACTATCAAAGACAACCTCTCTCTGGCCTGCTTTTCCTTCCCAGGACACTGTCCTGTCACAGTCCTGGCTCTCCTTTCTCCTTTTGTGGATTAAGAAAGAAAGAGGGAGGGAAGGTAAAGCCAGGGGAAGGGGAAGGGGAAGAGGAAGAGGAAGAAAAAGGAAAGGATTGTAAGATCAGAGGTCTCCCATTTTACATTCAACGACCTTGGCCATGCTTTCTACCTTATTTTACTGTTCTCATCTTACTTCTTGCCAATTATTCTTGATGGTCCATTTCCTTCAAAGTGGACAGTGCTGGTGCTCCTAGCCGAGGAGCCAGGAGAGAACACAAAAGTGCCTATGTCTGTGCGGGGACCACTCGCACCCAACTCACAGCCCGCCACCCAGCTGTTAATCTGGAGCTTTCTATTCCTCCATAAGGCTGAGCTCATGCCACACTCTCCCTGATGCCTTCCCCATCCACCCAAAGAACTCAGCCATTTCTTAACTAACCCTACCCTACCCTGCCCTCACAGTGCTTCATCATCCACCCAGGTGTGGTGTGGCTCTCCACAAACCTGTAAGATCAGCAAGTCAGTAATTACATATCCCTTAAAACCAGTGAGAAGGTGAGATGGAGAATTTAAATGTCATGATGATAGTAGCAAAAGAGTACTGTAGTACCTTGGATGATAGTTCCTAAAAGACATATATATCCACATCCTGGAACCTGTGCCATTTTGGGGGAAAAGGGACTTTTCAGATATAATTAAGGGAACTCAAGGTGAGATCATCTTGGATCATCTCCCGAGTTCCTAAATCCAACAACAGTTTCCTTACCCAGGCAGAAGGAGAGTACGCAGACAAAAGAGAAGGCCACATGAAGAAGGAGGCAGAAGACTGGAGTGATGTAACCACAAGTCGAGGAACACTTGGAGCCACAGAAGCCAGAAGAGACAAGGAGTACACAAGACTGCTCAGGAAACCTTGAGAGGCAGCTGACATCCCAGTTCCAGACTATGAGACAATACACTTCTGCTGTGTAAGCCACCAGGTTTGTGGTAACTCACTTCAGCAGCCTTAGAAGACTAACACGAGGGCTGGGGTCGTGGCTCAGCGGTAGAGCTCTGACCTAGCACATGCGGGGCCCTGGGTTCGATCTTCGGCACCATATCAAAATACATAAATAAAATAAAGGTATTGTGTCCAGCTACAACTAAAACATAAATATTAAAGGAAAACTAGCAGAGGATCTTAAAACTCAACTTTGTTGCTTTTAATGATAAGTCACACCCTCCCTTGGTATGACCTTGGTATCAGCCTCAGAGGGGACAGCTAAAGCATCCAAGGCCCTAGGCTTCCATTCCATTTGTCCTGCCCCCTCCCCCAACTACAGCAAATGATGAATATTTGTTCTTTCTGAGAGAGACCCTCCGACATGGCAGGCTGAGCAACTGTTGAAAGGTATCCAAGGAAAACAAACAATCTTCGTGGACTTTTTTTGGTTCATGTTTTCCATGTTGGGCGGAATGGAGCCCAGGGCCTTGAGCGTATGCTAGGCGAGCACTCTACCCACGAGCCCAGCCTGCGTATTTAACATAATCAAACTGTTCCACTAAGCAAACATGGAGAGAGCCAAAGAGTGTATTTCACCACAAATAGAAAAAGGACAGAGTCCTTCCAGACCTTTACTTGAGCAAACACCAGCCATTATGTAATGATGTCAAGAATACCCACTCTCTATTTGCTTTTCGACAACTTCATACAGATCTGAAAGGACAAAGTAGGATGCTCTTCCTAAAACACACGAACCAGGATCATTCCCTCCATCTTCATTTCCATCCTATTTCTTCTCAGGGTTCCCAGGTGGCCCTCGAATCAAGTGCCACTTCTAATAAGCAGGAGGCTCAGTGCCAGGCTGCATGGTACCTTATCCCACCTCTCTGGCTCTTGCCTCTCAAACATCCAGGGCCAGTGAGCCCTCAGATTGCTGCCTTCCTCCTGCTATTTAAAAAACCCTAAATCTTGTGAGACTTTGAAGCCTGTCCTGATTAATTCTAAAGTAAAATCATCAGTATTTGGTTCTCTTTATGTATAAGGACCCCAAATGTCACCTCTTCACAGATGCCTATGTGACCAATTTGAACTACAGCCCCTCCACTCACTTTACATTGCTTTATTTTCCTTGTATTATTATCACTTTTTGACATTTATTTATGTTTGTCCCCCACTTTCCTGTAAAATATAACCAGTGCATCTAAACACCCAGAATAATACAATTAGTGATCCCTTTTCTGCAGTTTAATTTTCTGTGATTTCAGTTAACCCCACTCAATTGCAGTCTGAAAATATTCAATGGAAAGTTCCAGAAATAAACAATTCATAAGTTTTAAGCTACATACTATTCTGAGTAATGTGATGAAATCTCACATTCGGCTTTTACAGACCTCGGATGCAAATAATTCCTTCATCCAGAGTAGCTGCAGAGCTGCAATATACACTATCCCCCTGTTACCCACTTAGTGGCCATCTAGGTTATCAGACAGACTGCTGCAGCAATCACTGTGCTTGTGTGTAGGGTCGTACTAACCACAGTTTCACACATTCACTGAGAGTCTTAAAATATACCCTTGGTGGATAAGGGGGCTACTACAGTTTGGTGTAGTAGTCATTTAATAAACATTTGTGGAATGAACATCAAATGAATATACTTAGACATGCAAATTAATATGTTAGATTCCCCTGTCAATCTATGCTATCCAATTTGGTAGGCACTAGCCACATGAAGCTACTAAGTATTCAAAACAACCTAATCCAAATCCGGCTGAGCTGCAAGTGCAAAACAAACAATGCATTTAGAAAACTTAGCTGAAACAAAAAGAATGTGAAATATTTCATAAATAATTTTGGTATTGATTACATGTGCAAATAATAATATTTTGATATATTACATTATATTATAAAATATATTTTGAAAGTGAGTTTTCTTTTTTTTGTTTAATGTGATTACTAAAAATTTTTAAAATACACACTTGGCTTGTATTTCTGGCTCACATTCTATCTCTATCAGACAGCCTTGCTCAGGATCACAGACTGCTGATCCCAAGCGGTGAGGATGTTTCACACACTGACAACATATACACTTATACCCCTTACTAACTCCTTTCTCTGATTTCTCTCCTAGGCCCAAGGAGAGAAGTCCTAAATCTTAAGAGACTTTGAAGCGTGACAATAGTGACTCTGGCATTTGGGACATTTTTTGTTGTTGCTTTTCTTTGGTTTTTTGGTGGTACTGAATAGTGCACCCAGGGGCACTTTACCACTGTGTTACATCCCCAGTTGAGTTTTTTTGTTGGTTTTTTAATATTTTTTTTTCTTTTGAGACCAGTGTCACTCAGTTGCTGAGACTGGCCTTGAACTTGTGATCCTCTTACCTCAGTCTCCTGAGTGGCTGGACTCACAGGCATGCTCCAACACACCCATCTGGTACTTCTTTCACTGGAGAAATAAAACCTACAGTTTAATCTGTGGCAAGTAATCTTCCATAATGAAGGAAAACAACATAAATATAGTGACACCTTCATAATAAGTATGTGATAAATGGTAGCTAGTATTGTTGTTGAATGTGAGATTTCATCACACTACTCAGAATAGTATGTAGCTTAAAACTTATGAATTGTTTATTTCTGGAACTTTCCATTGAATATTTCTGTATTTTTGTTGCTATCATTTGTCTTTGTTCTAATCATCCAGTATATTATAAACTACTCCAGGAAGTTTATATCCCATCTGCATCTTCACTTGTAATTTGCCAAGTCTGAGTCCCCAGCACATTCTTTACCACCTTAAGTGCAGCCTCACTCTCTATCAAAGCAGCTTCAGGATAAAGACAAAGAAAATTGACTCAGCCTGAAAATGTCAAATGAATCATGATGCCAAAATGATTTATATTCACCTTAGAATGCAGTTAATTCACTCCACCTCAGCAGGCTTGCCTTTGACCTCCTCAGGGTCTGAGATTGCCTTTATTAACCTGAGATGGGAACTGATCTTGAATGCTCAGCCACCTGGGGTGGGAGGGACTTGGAGACTCAGAGTAAGTCCTCGGCTTCTCCCCAACCAAGGAACTTCCATGAAAAGGTTTGGGAAGCCTGGCCAAAGAATTTCTACTGAAAGATTTGGGGTGAATCATTTGGGGATTTGGCTGAGTCAGGACTGAGCTGAAGAAGAGGTGAGCGTACAAAGGCTTCCTCTATTAATCACAACCCCTTTGATATGTATTTGTACCAAGCTGGGAAGTTCCATCCAAATGGAGGATTTCTCTGGAGACCTGCTCATGACAGAGTCCCTCACATGTTTTGTTCTTAAGTTTTTCCTGACCGTGAAACCTTTCATGCCTGACTTCTTCTGGTTTACTTGCTTCTCAAGATGATACATACTTGAATGGGGGGAGTCCTTCCTCATTTATAGTCATTGGAATAAGGCAGCAACCTTCAGTGCATTTTCCAGAAGAAGCGTCTTTGAAATCCGTCTTACAGGATAAGACCTTCCTCTATGTCAGTTACCAATGTTGATATCTAAGACTGACTGAGCCAGGTGAACTGGTTTATTGTAGAAAAAAAAGAAACTAAAT